CCTCTGTCCCCTCCCCCGCCCGCATCTCCCTTCCCTGTGCCCCTTCCCCCCTTCACATTCCTCTCCCCCTCCTCCTGGCCCCCTTTCCCCTGTCTGCAGCCTGCTCCTCTCTGCCTGACCCCTTCCCCAATGAGAGGAGCAGGCAGGGTCCGGTGGGGGGGGGGGGCAAGCAGAGGCAAGGCCACGGCTGGGGCCCACGCAAGGTGACTCTGGCCCTGTGGCTGCACAAGGCGTGGCCAAGGGGGCCGGCCGGCCGAGACGGTCCAGAGGCCGGTTCTCCTCACACGGAGCCGACGGTGCTGGCCCAGCCATCTCAAACCTACGCCGCCTTTGGGCACAGACCCGCCCGGGTCAGAACTCAGTAGGGTCAGGCAGGACCTGAACGTGCCTTCACTTTCGCACGGGACAGGCCCCGTTCCCCACCCGTCCCGGCAGAGCGAGGCCCGGACAGGCCAAGAACCGGCTCCGACGGGGTCCGGAGCGTGCGCACGCCCCCCGCCTGCCCCACGGGAGCTGCCCCCGCTCAACGAACTGCGCCACGAAGCCGCCAGGCCCCGGCACCTACCAAACTTGGAGTAGAAATAGCACTCGGGCATCTTGGTGACGTCGTACTCATGCAAGAATTCGCACTGGTCCCCCCTCTTGCACAGTCCACGCAGCCAGTGCTTGCACACCACCGTCTGCTCCCCGCTGCTGTGCCGGAAGGGGCACATCAGGCCTGGACGCGGAGCAGAGACGCCTTCGTCCCTCCTTTTTCCACAGGAGCTCACTCCCCCCTTGCCTGCCGAGAGATGCCGGCTCCTGCTCCCACCCCTGCCCGGGGTGCTCCTGAACCGCAGCTATGAGGCAAGGGGAGGCATTGCCTTTCCCCGGTGGTGGGGAAGGGTTTTGCACAGGCTCTTGGGGGCACGGAGCCATTCGATGGGGGCAGACTGGGGACGGAGTGCAGACAGGGCTGTGCCTGGCAGTTTGGGCAGGCAAGGGTACAGGAGGGGGTTGGCTCCCAGGGGAAGCAGGGCATCGGGCGGGAGGGGCTCAGGGCTGGGGGATTTGCCCCCCCCCCACTGCCAGCTTTGCCTGCCA